GTTGGGCCTATTAAGCAAGCAAGGATTAAATTGGTTAATTATATATAAAGTCATAGATCTCTATAATGGTAGTTTAATATTCTGATGTTGTCAGCAGAGTCTGATGAAAGCTTAATAAGTATACTAAATATAATTTTAGTTACGGAGATTGCAAGATGTCTGTTGCTTCACACACACACACACACACACACACACACAGGGAGAGGGAGGGAGGCAGAGAGAGGGAGGGAGGGAGGCAGAGAGAGGGAGGGAGAGAGGGAGGGAGGGACGGAGACAGACAAAGACAGAGACACAGAGATAGAGAGGAGAGAGTTAAGAGAGACAGAGAGAGACAGGTAGAGGTAGAGATGATAGCTATGATAGCTATGATAGAGATAGAGTAATAGAGATAGAGACAGAGAAGAGAGAGAGAGACAGACAGACAGACAGACAGACAGACAGACAGATTTAATCCTGGCAAAGTCTTGTGCGGCATATAAACTTGCTTATTTTGCCCTACTCTGACTAGTTTTAATTAAATTCAGCATTCAGTTTCATTGCAAAAACTGCAATTTTTAAAAGAAAGAGAATCTTAAAACCATTTACCTCTGCAGGACCAATTGGCTCTGGAAATACGGAAGGCAGATACCGCACAGTAGTTGGATACTAGAAGACAGATAGATAGATACAAGTGTCGTTATTGATCTGTTTTTAATTGATGACCAGCCCAGTGTGGAACATTGAGTATTGAATTTCTGCATTTCAAATCCAGCCAGGAGTGATGCACCTATCTCTGGGAAGGTTGTTTGTTTGGTTTTATGTTTTTTGTATGTTTGTGTTACTTGTGATTCCTGGCAACCACTAGGTCAAATCCGTGCAATTTTTTCTTGACTATTTGTTTTAGAACTGACCTCCTTCTCCTGACATTGATCAAGTTACCTAGTTTGGGTAATGAAATGACTGCAAGAAAACAAGCAAGCTCTGTGAGAATCAAGGACACCACAGTCCTCCTCCTTCTCTTCCTCTTCCTCTTCCTTGAAAACCCCACTCTCTTCTAGCACTGAAGATGTTCCCTAGTTGGGTAATGAAACATCTGCAAGAAAACAACCATTCTTCTTCTCCTCCTCCTCCTCCTCCTTCTCCTTCTTCTTCTTCCTCTCCTCCTCCTCCTCCTCCTCCTCCTCCTCCTTCTTCTCCCTCTCCTCCTCCTCCTCCTCCTCCTCCTCCTCCTCCTCCTCCTCCTTCTTCTTCTTCTTCTTCTTCTTCTTCTCTCCTCCTCTGCCTTCTCTTCTGCTTCTTCCTCCTCCTCCTTTTCCTCTTCTTATTCTTCCTCTTCTTCTCCTCCTCTTCCTCCTCCTCCTCCTCTTCTTCCTCTTTCCCTCCTCCTCCTCCTCTTCTTCTCCTTCTCTTCCTCTTCCCCCATCTCCTTATTCTTCTTCTTTCTCCTCTCCTCCTCCTCCCTGTAAACCCCTTTCTCTTCTCCGGTAGAACTGATGCTGTTATCTAGTTTGGGTCATGGAATCTCTGCAAGGAAATAACCAAGCTCAGAGAGCACCAAGGACCCCCCCACCCCCCGGACCTCTTTCTTCCCAGAGCTGGGAGAGAGACATAGACTTGTTCAAGCTTACGCAGTTGGCACGGTGTCTCACGGCAGACTAAAATTCATCGTTTTCCAGTTTCTACCTCACTGCCTTTAAGCTCTACACCAAAGTGACAATCTCTGTGTATCCTGGGCATAAAAACGCTACCTTCACACAGTGATAAGCAAACACAAAGCGTTTCTACTGGCAAGGGCTGGGCTATTCAATGATCTCATGGAGAAAAGACTGCAAGCATTGGGGGTTACCTTTCCTCTGAGAGTTTGCTGGATGTTTACGTGAAGTGAGAGAAAGACAAAAGATAAGGCCATGCATTTTTAATATCCTTGGAGCAGAGCTAAGGTGATCCATCTCTCTCATTTCCTATGTGATGTTTGCACTGGAGCTTGGGATAGTGTTTCCCTTAAAGACAGGTCCAGGGATGGACTACTGGGGGTTCACAGAGATTCGGGTGAGCCCCAAGCTAAGATTCTGTGCAGTTCAGAGAACCCCGAAATCCCACTCCTGGCCCACCCCACCCCTCCCAGGAATCCCCACACGGCCCATTTTGGATGGAGTAAAGTGCAGGGTGTACATGGAGGCTCAGAGAGAGCAAACATTTCCCCCCTACACACACACCATGGTGCAGGAGGCCGAGTAGGCCACGCCCACCATGGCCACCCCACCCACCAACCGGGCAGAGAACCCTTTGCTAAAATATTTTAAGCCCACCCCTGGACGGGTCTCTGGTCTTAACTTGTCCACATCCTAAAGCCTAGTACTAAACTAAATTACTACATTTACATTACTAAACCCTAGTAAGACCACGCCTGGAATACTGCAACCACTTTTGGTCAAGGAAGGAAGGAAGGAAGGAAGGAAGGAAGGAAGGAAGGAAGGAAGGAAGGAAGGAGAGAGAGAGAGAGAGAGAGAGAGAGAGAAAGAAAGAAAGAAAGAAAGAAAGAAAGAAAGAAAGAAAGAAAGA